AATTTATAGAAATGTCTGTGAAAAAGAAAATTTAAGTAAACACATAACAAGTAACTAATTATAAATTTTGAAAAAATGCATTTTACAAACATCTTTCATTTGCTCTAGTCACATACTTTTATATTCTTGTAAATGTAAAATTATTCTTGTAAATACACAATCTAATAGTGTTTAACATCTTTGTTGTCATTCTCAAAAATAAAGAAAATGTATAAATCCACTTGTATAAGTTTGGCTTTTATCAACATTGCTTTTTAAAACAAATATTGCTGAGGGAGTCAAATACAATACAGACAGTGCCCTTTTTACACACAAAGGGTTTGTGGGTCTGAAGGTTAAACATTGCTGAACAAGTATGCTTGAAGACCCTAGAAAGAAGATTATATTAATATGACCTTTTAGTTTTAAATAAAACTAAACCACAGCTCAATGGTACCACAGTACCATAAATCTTGCATTAACCTGATACAAATTTTATTTCACTTCATAAATACAATCAATAAAACTACCAACTGTTCAGATAGGTCATCAAGGACAAAAAAAGATGAGCTGTGTACTCATTCACCCCCTCACCTATTGGCCTCTTACCTATCAATCACCATAGCATGCGACTGACAAATTCATGGCTTTTATGACATTAGTTTGGAAGAAATATGACCAGCCTAAACTACATGTTAAACTATTGACTATTTTCCAAATAACTGCACAAGGTATAAAAGTAAATCCTCCTTCCAAAGTTATATAAAACCTACTGTACATTAACGTATTGATTCCCACAATAAAATTTGGTATTAATTATAAAAATTAAAATAAGTATCTGTTGTAGCAGACCTATGGACGATGGTATGTCTCCATTCACATAAATACAGTAGTAAATACTGTATGTTGGTCTGCAGTTGGAGATTCATTGTGGTATTCACTTGACTCATTTCTAGCAGTTGAATACTTCTTTTACGCACCGCTGGCAAATCTTATATGTACTGTTCTAGTCCTTAGTATTATTATTCATTACCAACCTTCATTTGATTATTCTATTTAGTAACATTCCCTAGGTTACAATAGTATCAAATTAAAACAAGTACTAATAATACCCATGGATTGAATAAATTCCAACGTATATCACTTGAAGGCTGGAGTATATAACAGACGAAACATCATGTACATGATAACAATCCGAACAATGTAAATAGTGTAAATAAGTATCAAAATTCTCTAAAATATCCGACAATAACTAGAGATTTCTCCCATTAATACCCACCATCCCAAAAATAAGACAGTGAGTATTGATAGGTTTTAAAAAAAAAAAAAATTTATATTATATATATATATATATATATATATTAAAGACATTTTTATGTTTAACACACTATAATTTAAAAAGATACTTCTATGACATTTACTCAAGAGGTACAGCTTTCAAAAGCAAGAATCTATTCTCAATATCTGGCAAGATAATTGTTAATGAACACACATCCTGTTTGAGAGCTGGAATATATATATATATATATAACAACTAAAAAGTTGCAAATTAAAAAAATAATGTTTTTTATGAAAGTATTTATTTATATTTGATATTTCAGATCGATCTCGATCTTTCTTCAGAAATAACTGTTTTTAGAGGTTTGTTTACAAGTAGCGTCCGTCGCGAGATGCGGACGTCGCGTGATATGGAACGCCACTGTGTTCAAATATTTTTAACATAAATCTAACTGTAATAATATTTTAGATGTTGTTTAAAAAAAAAAAAAAAAAATTTTTTTAACTATATCTAAAAAAATGTTTAATTATTGAAATATTTATAAAGATTTAATACCCAAGTCTTTATTTAACCCTAGTTTATATGTATTTCATTTTAAAATCCAGTATTTTTCTTTTTTTCTGCATGTGTATGTGGAACTGAAATCAGAATTTATCAATAAACATTTACAGTTTTCTAATGAGTGTCCTGATTGATTAAAGTGTTCAGCTATGGGGGAATAAGGATTGTTTTGACATATGGTTCGTTTATGATTGTTGAAGTGAAATCTAAAATTATTTCCAGATTCACCAATATATCCACTATTGGAACATATTGTGCAGAATAAATAGTAGATTATGTTATGTCTATCACAGCTGAGGCGAGGTGGGTGTATCTTGATATTGGTGTTGGGTACAGAAAATACATCATCTATTATTAAGTGTTTGCAAACTAAGCAACAAGGTTTGTTACATTTGTAATTTCCTGATTGGTTTGTTTAGATATTTGGTAGAGTTGAGGATAGCTGATAGGTTAGGTGAGTGTTTCTTTGCATTTATGGGTGGTTTATCGAAAATGTCTGATCTTTTTGTCTAACTGGAGTTTCTTGTAATCCTTTTTTAAATTGTGAATAAGTGTGTGGGAATATTGATTGTGGTTAAAAACCATGGGAATCTGACTGTTGTTTTTACTTTTCTTGTATGTGAGAAGTGTGTTACGATTTATGTGGATAGTTTTATTTAGTGCTTCTTTTATTATTTTTATTGGGTATTTATACTTTCATAAAAAAACATCATTATTATTTTTTTAATTTGCAACTTTTTAGTTGTTTTTTCTATATATACATATTAAGAAAGTATACGTGGCTTCTCATTATTGCTATATATATATATATATATATATATATATATTCAGGCAGCATATCTTCATTCAAACATGTTTCATTGAATAATCTAGACATATTGTATCTACTTATTTTTATACTGATCCTTTCCAGTTGTTTAATCCGTTTCTTGATGCTAAAATGAGAGTCATCGGGGAAGGTGTCATATGCTGCCCAATAGCTGACTCATAAGCCATTTGAGTCAAGCATGTGCTGCTGTTTGCAACACCATGTAATATTGGCAGGTACATGTTATCCAATCCATGTCTCAAGGTATTCATTGGGTTGCCCCTACAGTCAGCCTCACATAGACATTTAAATTTATAAACAACAAAACTACTTTGAAGGTAAGGCAAACTATCTAAATTATTTAACAAAGTTTAACATCTGTGTCTGCAAAAAAAATGGTGTATCAAAATGATAGTTATTCCTTTGGCACCACTACTACTGTATACTGCTTTAAATCCCTCCGCAATGTTTAGTGTTTTAAAAAGCGATGATTAAAATTTTAATAAAACCCAAGCATATGAAAGTGAATTTATATATTTTCTTTGTTCTTGGAAATTTACAACAAACACTATTTAATCACTATTTATTAGATTGTTTATTTACAAAAATAATTTCATATTTACAGCATTCTAAAAATGCGAACCAACTAATACAATGCAAGGTTTATCATTTTCCAGCTTATAACAAAATAAATATGAAAACAATTTTTTTATTCATAAATTTATAAAAATTATCAAAATATGTGAACCAACTATAATAAAATCTTTATTATTTAAGATTTTATAAAGTTTGAATCAATTGGCAAATAACCAACCATTTTGTCAATCATTCCAAAGAACACAATTCAGTAGCTTTGCCAATTGTAAGATTTCTTCATCAATCACCACTTGATTACAATAAATAATCTGTCAGCAGATTTTCTAGGTAATGATTTTTTAAATTTATTTCTTCATAAAATGATAAATAATAAATCTTTCAAAAATGGTAAATAATAAATGTTGTTCTGTACTTAGTTTATATATTTTCATGACTTAAAATCTTACAATACCAAACGGCTCTCATACCGATATCGATAAAACAAGCACAGAGGCAGACAAGCACTCTTTATGTCTGGACAAAGCAGAGATCCCAAGGCATTTTCCTCACACAGTTTTGTCTTACTTTCACTTTAAACTTAGGAAGTCAGAGAGCACACATTTCTCTGACAAAACATGTCATTAATAAAATTTTCCACTTGGTCTCATCATTTTCCCTTTTGTTTCGGTTACTATTATACATTCTACAAACAGACATAATCGTGTAAATAAATTTTCTGAGGGAGTCTCAGTTATATATAATAATAGCAGTGTCAACAGAAAAACCATCCTTTTGAAACAACATTTTTTTTTGTGAGTAAGAAGGTTAAACTTTGCCATTATTTCTCCCTTATCTTTTTTTTTTTTTTTTTTTTTTTATAAATTACAAATAGAGATTATAATGAGATTAAATAACTTGATGTTCTTCATCTATTTACTAAAGAACAACTTCCTAAGGCAAATATTAATATCCACATTTCAGACAAAAGAGTTGTTAACAGATACAAGTGTCATTTTTGGGAGCTGGTGTATATATAAGATTGCTCCAGTGGATGATTATCTGTAATTTGTCAGGGCCATATAAACAATAACCCAAAATATTTTCCAAATTTAAATATAAAAATCCTGACATGTTTTTTTCCATGAAAGTGCAAATATTTGTACACTACCCTAAAACAATCAAAAAGAGGAGGGAAAAAATGGATGGGTCAATTAATAATATAGAAAAAAAAAAAAAAACCTTTTATAAGACATAAATATTTACACTATTTACATTGTTCAGACTGTAGTCTTCATCTTTATTGTCACATTCTTGACATTTTGGTCTTTGTATGCTCTTGCCTTCCTCTTGTGATATTCATTGGTATTTCAAACCAATAACTTTATAATGATAGTTTGTTCTAAACCCATGTGCCATGCTTTTTTTTTGGATATCTCAGTTTGAGTTAATTCCTTTTAGTAACTCAACTTTCGTTCCCTCTTCTGTGGCCAAGTATTGAACTCACAGCTCTTTGGGTCAAGTCACTTTTTGGATTACTCAACCAACGCTTTTATCCACTAGGCCAAACATCATGAATGTGACAATAAAGATGAGGACATAAGTCCAAACGATGTAAATAGTTACAATACCTCATCTCAGAAATATAGACAGACATAAAATTTTCTCTTTCCCTGTTTATTGCATTTTTCATTGTTTGCATCTATACAAATTATACAAATATCATCCCATATAGTTTTGTTGTTCTCGGATACAAAAATAAACAATTCTTAATACCAACCCTATCTAAAAGGAAAAATATTACTCACCCAGTTCACATATAGTAGCCAAGCAGGCACGACGCAACCGGTCACGTTCAGTTGAGCCATCTCGACCAATGGCCACCATTGGATAAAGTAGTGATAATGGGACATGATGAGGATAATGCTGGATTATTTTTCGAATAAGCTTCATTGCATGAATCCGTTCGACTTCGTTGCTTAGGCAGATATCCAAACATCTTAAAAAAAAAAAGAAAGATGTTTAATGACATGTTTAATGACATGAGAAACATGTTAATATTAAACATCTAAAAACAATGAGAAACATGTTTAAACCATTAATTTACCCATCTTCAATATTGCAATTTCTATAGAAATAATAGATCTTTTATTTATTAATCTGAAAGTTTTGAACTTTCAGGAAGCTAAACAAGAAAGATTTGCTTAAGGGAGGTATACAGCCTTGCTTAATCCTGATGCTCTTCGTGGCCAAGTTAATTAAAGCACATTGGATCTAACAACACTTTCTCCTGCAAAGGAGGACACAGGTTCAAATCTTCCTGGAGGCAGATGTATTTTTTTTAACCCCCTTCCCTACCAATTATTTTGGGAAAAATGTTTCATTTTCAGACAAATTTTTTTTTATTTGTTTGTTTTTAATATAGTAACAAAGAAACTGTCTGTAACAGAAATTGTACCTTCAATATAACAAAGTACAATGTCCTTAAAATTTGTTAGATTTTGATGAAGTCATGATAAAACAGATAGTCAAATAGTAATTTTAACTAGCAAAATCCCTGTCTTATGAACATTTCTCTTCATAATAATTTAAGAATAATTCAGCAGACGATATTTTATTTATGGTAACTGGATTTAAGGAATATTGTTAAAGAAAGACAAAAAAAAATGGCTAATTATGAAATAGTACAATTATAAAAACCAGACAAATTCATGTCTTAAGAACATTTCTCATAATTTTAAAATTATTCAGCAGACAATGTTATTTTATTTATGGTAACTGGATTTTTGGTGATTGCCTTACTTAGTTTCTGTTATTCAATACTGTGTATCTGAAAAATGGCGCTATTATTACAGTTGCCTTCACTTCTCATTGTGCATGTTTGAACTTATGGTGCTTGTGTAAATTGTTAGAAAGGATGGGTTGTTAATCAAATAAGCTAGGAGTTGGATAGTTATTGATAACCAGTTTCTCTTCACTCTCACTTTGGCCTTGTGCAACAAATAATGTATATTGTTATTAAATAAAATCGCCTTTTGGCTGGGATCAAAGTGTAGTATCTGTCATCTGCTGGATAGACTACATTTCATCTCTCAGTTGTGTCTGTCTGCAGAGAGTGCAACTAAAACTATTGTTGAGAGGTACCTGCTCCCAGGGAAACAGCTGCCCCAAGCAGTACCTCCCTTATTGCACTAAAGAGGGTGGGGATTAATAGTAATACTGATGCCAGCACAGACAGCAGTTGTGAGAGCTCTGTAATATTTTTGGACCTGTCCCAGGTGCACATGCTCAGGCTCCCACATTAAAGTGACCTTATATGATATCCTGCCAGCTGGGAGTGGCAAGAAATTACAATCACTTCTTAGCCTTTTGGCTAAGATTAAAGTGTAGTATGTGAAAAATAGCACTTTTATCGCAGTCAACATCAATTCACAACTTTTGGTTCAGATCAAAGTGTAGTATCTGATAAGCTTAATTCGATTCTCTCTCTCTCTCCACTTCTAATTTTCTTTCTTTCATTTTCTCACTAAAATCAGGTAGTGTCATTTCCCTCTTTTCTATGCAATCAAAATAGAACAGTCCATTATTTATGAGGTATTGACAGAGCATAATAGTTATGCAAACTAATGAAGGGAGAGATAAACACAATTATATTAAGATACATTGGCCTCCCCCATATCAACTTTTGGCAATTTCCATTTCTTAACTGTCAACACCAGAAATAAAAAATTCATAAGTTTTACTTATTTGGTAAATATATAGAACAATTTGGAAAATTCTTATATTGTCATGCCAACCTGATTAAACAGCATTATCAACAAAACGGATTTTATTTCAACCAAATCTACATTGGTAAGACAGAAAGTGATTCACGTTAGTCAGATGAACGCCGGATATGTTTTTCTAACTTTACCTGTATCATTTTTTAAATTAATTTTTACAAATTTCTACTTGGCTTATAAACAATTGTCATAAGACATTTCCTACCCCACAATGTTTCAACACCAGATAGTAAGAATGGCTGATAGGCAGAAGAAGTAAAATAAAAATATATCCAGCATTCATATGATTAATTTGAATCATGCTCTGGTATGGTCCTAGGTATGACGATAAACTAAATCTGGCAGCAAGGTCTCTGATCAGGAGATTGGAGGTTTTGAGGAGCAAGGAACCCATTCTTAATTGTTGTTGTTCTCCAGTCCACTCTGACCCAGGGTGCTAGCACCAGTATGGGTCACAACTATGGGCAAATAGTTAAGGCCAAAACTGGGGTCAAGAACTATGAAGGTGTGGAAATTCATTTTTTACAGTGGAAATAAATCTTGCCACAGCCTAGGTGGCAGTAAGTTTCAGTGGCAGTCTTCGACAAACAGATGACCTGATACAGTTGCCACAATGTTTTGGCAGATGATCCACTCCGTGTCGACAACATTGTGATTCACAGCCCCGGTGCGCGAATGGCAGATTTCTCAAATGCTACAAAGATTTGAGTTGGGATGTTATCATAGGACAGGCAGTCCTGTGAAAACTTTGAAACTAATATGGCTAGTTCTCTTGAGAGCTAGCCAATTGCTGCCTACCCTAGTAACTGGGAAACCCACAGCAGTATAATCAAAGCTCTGGATAAGCAAGCATACTCTGTCTTGCCAATGTAGGCTTGGTTGAAATAAAATCTATTTTTTTGATAACGCTACTTGATCAGTGTAACATATCAAAATAAGAGTTTTCTAAACTGTCTTATACATTTATTAGATTTTCATCCAAATTTAAATCATTAATAAAAAAAGAATTGATAAAAAAAAAAAAAAAAAAAACATTGTACACAGAGATTACTCAAACACATAAGAACAAATCTTCTACTCTTTCCAAAGTTTTTATTATAGTATTATTATTTTACTGTGAAACTTCAGTTTTCCTACATGATGAATCTTAATTCTTAAGTTAATGTGTGAATAAGCCCATGACAAGTTCTATGGCAATAGAATATCCATAGAAATTCCCCTATTGCATCGATAAATATTTGAGCTTAACTTTAACAAAATACTGCATAACCCATCATAAATATGAATGCTGGTCATCATTTAAAGAAGTAAGGGGGTACAAATGAAAATATTTGAAATTGACAATGTTTTCCATTTCACTGAAACAGCCTTTAAAACACAGGAGAGAATTATCCTCTTACATCTTCCCTTATTTCTTTAATTTTCCCTGGCATGGTTTTATATTTGACAGGGTGTGACTTACTTTCATTTTGACATTGAAACCAAATAGCATCTGATATGTATTTTCTGTCTTTCCATATTATCAAAATGGAGTGGCCCATTATTTATGCAGTACTGGGAGAGCATAATATATATGCTAACTAAGGAACAATTATAATTTTTCTATTTTATTCGAACAAAAAGAAAATTGTAGAGACATGAAACTATTTTGAGAACGGTAGAAAAAACGTTTTAGTGTTAGTAATGTTTTTCATTGTCAAAATTCTTCCAGCTTTTGTGTATTTACTAATTTAAATCTCGGTGGAATTCAGAATAAAGGGGATGTAACTCAATAGGTTTATTTTCCTGAAAGACATATCGAAAGGAGGCTAAGAACTGTTGCTCAGAGTTATCTTCCCTTTTATTAATTTTTTTTCTCTGTTGAAAAGAATAACTTAATTTCCTAACATGCTTTTTTTTGTCCAACATTTTGATTTGAACAGCAAAATTTAATTTTTTGTTTCTTTTCTCGCTCCCTGCAGCCAAATAACTAGAGAATCTTCTCACTGTGAAAAAATTGTCTGTCCTACTATGTTTCATCAGTAACCAGTGAGCCTTCAACAAATGTAATCTTTCAAAGCCTCTCATATATATATATATATATATATATATATATATATATATATATATATATATATATTATATACATACATTAGGAAATGGGTTAAATCCGCCATATTTTTATTTATTTTGTTTAAACGTTAATTTTGATGGGTACTAATGTTCAAAGCAGACATTTTTCTGAAAAGATTCCTAAAATATTCAGGTTGATAGATGTAGTTGGACAAAAAATACTGTTTAATTAAAAAAACGGAGCTTCTACTTAAATATGAGTATCCATCAAAATAAAGTTTAAACAAAAATTATATATATATATATATATATATATATATATATATATATACACACAGAGGCCATTTTATATTTTTAAGCTCGCATTGTTTGTTTTTGATTTTGTCAATTGCACAGTATTGTAGTATTAGTTGGGCACTGTCTATAAGAAAAAAATGATCAAGACACAATTCACTCTGCCAGAATTTTCGAAACACCATGCTGTACTGCTTGGCATTCATGCCAGAAGCTCCAATATGAACATTTCAGTATTTGAGTGTTAATCTGAAGCCAGTCATGGCTGTCAGACAATTTCTGCATTCACATCACCCCTTACATCTGACCACCTAACTCCCCAGACTGCAACCCCCTTGATTATTGTGTGGGGTGCCATTGAGCAAGAGACTAACAAAGATTACACAAAGATTGTAACATCAAAGATTACATTCAACAACTTAAACAAGGAAATCATCCAGAAGAGTTGCAGGAGATTCTGAAGTCATCTGGAGGCTGTAATTTAAGCCAATGGCGATTTTATTGAATAAATTTACTCTTTAGCATTTCAAGATATTTTTGTGAAATTTTCATAAATGTATCTTAAAATGAGATGTTAGTGCTATTTTCATTTTTGTTTAATTTAAACGTCAATTTATTCATTCAAAAATATAAAATGGCAACAAGTTACCTACCGCACACTGTATATAAATAAACAGGAAAGTGTATATTTGTTCACAATGCACAGTCAAACCACTGTCAAATTTGACAGGAATAATTACTGGATCTAAGAAGGATTTAACATAAGCATTTTTTTTTTTTTGATTTTCATGAGGAAAAAGTTCCTCTCCATATTTTGTTATGTAGAAATATCTTTTCAAGTAACAATTACCTTTTGTAACTGTTAGTGTAAGATCATAATTTCTTTTATTATTAAAGCAATTTTATAGTTGAATTTTCTCTGAAAATACTCTTTCTATTTTTTATAATATTTCTTTGTTGGAAATTTACCAGAAACAAACAAAATCTGATTTGTTTTTCCTTTAAGCCGCTAAATTACTATTCTGCAGTTACTATAAATGACCAATCAATGGCATGGAAAATTGACCTTTACACCTGGGCACACATGGATAATGACAATAACAAAGATATTGCAAAATAGTCATTTCTTAGTCATCCATTTCTTTTCTTTCATCTTGGTATTAGAAGTTCTTTCTCAGATACATCCAGTAGTTTTGTGTGTAACTTGACGCTGACAGAGTCTTACCATTTCATCATTACAGTCCTAAGGAAAATTGTTCTGTCATTATAACCACCTGTAATGTCATTTTTCACTTACCTAGTGAATACAATATAAAAGGAAACCTAAACTTACCTTGCAATCAGGTAATCAATTCGCAAACTCACAATCACATCCAGAACCTTTTTGTCAGTTAATAAATAACGAATCACTCTCAGAGTGGCTGCACGCACTTCTTTGGCATCATGGAGCAGTCCAACTTTCAAGCTGATGAAAAAGAATTTATTGAAAAAGAATTTATTGAAAATGAGTTATTTGAATTCCTTATGGACATCAGGCAATAGTCACAGGTTTATAAATTTTCATCACATAAAAGATGACTTGGAAGACATTTTCTGTCTGAATTTCCAGGATGAGACATTATCATTATTTACATTCGGACTATTGTCCTCATTTTATCACAATGTTTCAGCCATTGTACTCTCCAGCCGTCATCAGGTGCTGGGTAACCTACAGCGAATTCTAAATTCCCTGTAGGTCCCATGAAGGCAGAGGGCACAAAACATTGTGATAACAACAACAAAGACAAATGTAAATAGTGTAAATACTGAAGGACATTCTCTTTTCTTATAGGCAAAGACAACAATAATTAAAATATTATCAACCAATATTTAGTTTATCTAATATATGACAAAAATCAATCTATTGCTGTTTAAATATTAAATGAAGATTGGGGTTAAGTATTTGAAGAAATTATATTAATATAAATTTTAACTATAAACAATGACCAGATTAGTAGAGATGAGTCATAACCAAACTATACACAGAAATCACAAATTTGAGCAGGGCCGTCTTTTAAGTAGCATCATAAGTAATTTCCATTTCTTGAAATTAAATTGTAGTGAAGATGCCATCCTAGCTATTAATCATACATGACAGTTAAGAATATTATTAATTATAATAATATTAAAACAATATCTGCATATAGAAAATATTGTTTTAAGTTGAGTAAAGAAATTGAAGGAGGCAGTGATTTTTATATATGAGATTGAGTCATAAGTAATTTTCATTTTTGGGAACCAATTGTAATAATGTATCATCACAACTAATCATACGACAGTTAAGAATAAATCTGGAGTACACTAACACAGATACCAAAATCAAACATGTTCAAAATGCAAATTACAAGTCGGGGATACTAAAATCAAGCAGGTACAGAAATTTAAATATCAAGGAAGTGTTTTAACAGAGGATAGAAAGTGCAACACTGAAATCTGAAATCACTTAAATACATATGCCATCGTTTACATTATTTCAAAGCAAAAAGGTCTCTCGTCTCTGAGTAGTATCCCAACATTAAAGCTCCTATTACAATATAGCAGACCCAAAAGTACTACCCCGACAAAAGTGTTGGATCACTCACCCAATGCCATGACACTCCTCTAGTTATACTGTCAGTACTGTAATATCTGTCCTTCTATTATGGGCACATGGCCGAGTAGTCAGAACATTTGCATTCTGAGCCTGAGACCAAATCTCACTATGGTTGATTTGTTAGGAAGGAGACTTCCTGATGTTATCAAACTGGAGGGGTCAATCCCAGCATGCGGAACCTTTGGAAAGTGCCTGAAAACTATACCATGGGTTGACCCAAGCCTTGTGAGTGAAATTGAGTAGACGGAACCCTTGGGGGTCATTAATAGCTGTTCTAGCACAAAGTAACAAGTCATCAACACAAATGCACCTGAGCAGGCATCTGCAAGAGAGATTGGCTAGCAGCACTACTAGATGAGCATCCTCGAATATCAGCTACACGTAATAGTAAATGCTGGACAATCTCTTCACAAATGAAAAAGAGACTTGAGGCAAAAGAAACGAGCATCTACAGAACAATGCTGAGAATCCCATGAAATGAACATGTGAGTAACGATGAAAAAGGACACTTATACTTATCAGAAAGAGAGAGAGAGAGAGAGTTGAAATTTCTAGAGCACATTTAATACTCAGAGGACAGATTGAAAACAACTGACTGATTCATTCATTCCTTCATTTTCTACAGCTTACTAACCCTTTGCAGGTTATTTAAAGCCAGAAAATACTTTTACATTGTAAGAATTTTTTTTGTTGGTGATAATAATGATTTAATAATACAAGTCTTATCCATAGCTGGACGAGGGTAAAGAATTGGATTACTACATTTCCCAAAGGGTTCCTGAGCCCTTACATATTCTGACATCCACACATCCAAGCTTACAACACCTGGTATTCCTGATTGAAAACAAGAGAGACAAAAGAAAACAATGCAAATCCTACTGAGCACACTTGAGTAAATAGATGGCAGAACAAGGTTTGGGAGAGAGAACAAAATGGCTATAGTTATTAAGTGCTACAAAGGACAGGAAATTGTGGAGAGTCATAATTGCCTATGTCCTGAAGGGACACTGCACATAGAAGATAGGTAGTAACAATGAATATTTAGTCATAAGAAAAAGAAATAAAAAAAAAAAAAAAAACCTTTCTGCCTTCCATCAGTATGGCTGATGCTAACCTCCAGGAGAGTGACTTGTTGCACATTCTCTGGCTAACATTCTCTCCTGACATGAAGTTGAAAGATTATATTGAATCAAATGCTAGGCCTGCTGCTTGGAAAGATGGTTCACTGTGTCGTCCTAGACAATTTTTCTCTCCAGAATTATTTTTACACATTTACAAGTCTACCATTCATCCAGCTTTGAATATTGCTGCTACATATGGTCTGGTGCTCCTGCTATAAATTTAGAGATCCTTAATAAAATCGAAAGAATAATCAGCAACATTATTGGTCCTGACCTGGCATCTCAGCTTCATTCACTTTCCCTACCACCATCATATAGCTTCCCTGTATGTTATCTACAAAAATACTTACATGGTAATTGTTCAGATGAACTTTGTTCTATGATATCTAGACTTTATGAATGTGTTATAGTGGAACAACCTATCACACCCCGACAGTGATTGGTCAGTCTAAAGAGACATGAATGAGAAGAAAATAAAAGACATGACGAAGTATTGTTGTAGCAGTACCACTACGGACCTCCATGACGTATCTCCCATTATTATTAATTATTATCATTAATTATTTATTATTAATTATTCTTAATTATTTATTATTATTTATTATTATTATTATGAACTCTTACTCATTGTACTTTCCATACAATAAGACCCATGTTATTTGTTTTACCCTAACTCCTGTGTTTAGCATAATCTTTCCACTCGGAATTACCTAGTTGCTTATAGCGTATTATCCACGATATAATAGAATTTAAGCACAGTACAAGATTAAAAACAAGGTCTCATCATTTTACACTTGAATTGGTTAGATTGGTTTGGTTTATTTTGTTTTATGGCATATCAATACATCAATGGGTTATTTAATGCCGACAACATTTTTAGGATAGATTCATATGAATAGAGTATGTATTCTTTGGTTTAAATTTGTTTGGTTTATTTTGTTTTAGGGTATATCAATGGGTTATTTAATGCTGACAAAAATTTTTATTGCTGGTAATATTTTGTTTTGTAAATATTGCTGGTAATAGTTAACTATTTGCCCATAGCTGGGACCCTAACAGGTGCTACCACCCTGGATCAGGGTGGACCTGGGAACACCAGCAATTAAGAGGTGGTTCCATGCTTCTCAAAACCTCCTGATCAGAGGCCTTGCTGCTGGACGTAGTTTAACGTCTTACCTAGGACGAGAATTGGTTAGATGTATCTGTAAATTGTATGTTAACAGTTTAGTCTCCCTCATTTATCGCTTGTAGAACTGTTCTGACTTCTTGCTTTCCAACCAATTGTTGATCTTCAAAAATTTAAATGCAATATCAATCATTATCTACTATCTTCTTGATGTCTCTTTTATTGTTCTCGCTTCTTTATAATGTTTTTCTGTTTTCTTATTTTTTCACACTCAGTAACCGCCTTGTGGTTTATTTCCTTGCTTGGGGTGAAATGATTAAAAAAAAAAAAAACAAATAAATAAATAAAACTAAACTTAAAAATATAAGAAATAATAATCTTACCAGCATAAAATTTCTTCAATGCTGTAACCCAAATTCTGTTCAGATCCTACTTTATTGAGTAACTTGACAAAACAATTAAGATAGCCAAGTTTCTTGTTCTTGGAGACACCATTTTGGCACACAACATTGCTCAGAATTTCTTTCACATTTTCACAAGGAGCTGAAAGAAATAAAAAAAAATAAAATAAATTTATGAGAATTTAAACACTTCAAACATATCAAAACACTCAATAGTACTACTATCAATTCTATACACAATTTGGTGTGCACCTAATCTGTACTGAAGGACCAAAATTCCTGAAAAGGAGCTTAAATTTTGTATTTAACATTAATTTAGCACACCCCCACCTAAAAAAAAATAATAACAGTCTAGATCATTATTTTCTGATAAATATGAGGAAAGTCATGTTGAAAACAAATATAATGGATAGTGGCTCAAATTGAGGAACCAGAGAGCAGAGTTTAAATTCCAGTCAGGTTCACTACATTCACTAACATGCAATTACACTTGGGAAAGGTATAAATCCAGCTCTTAAAACTATAGTTAAATAGCAGGATGGATTAGGTCCTATAATTGGCCACCAGTCCTGGAGAAGGAGAACTGAATTCAAATCATCTGCTGCTTTGTAGGTCCTGCCTCTTTAGGCAAAGGTGAAAAGCTACCTTCAAAAACAAATTCACCCCACATGCTGCCTTGAAGAAAGGAACTGCACCCCAACAAACACCCACCCATCCACTTCAAGTCACAGCAGAAAATAACAGACTCCTCAGACTTAGTACAATGATTCAAACAAACACAGGACTGAGTCACAGCACTGCACCATAGACCTCCGATTTCAGACTATTTGACCATGGGGTATCACCCACAGCACTTTAGACAAGACATACAATATTTACTGTGTACCCAGTCTGTAATGAATAACCAAAATTAGATTTCTTTTGTGGGGGAAATAGTGAAAAAAATAGATTAAAAGCACCCTCCCCCAAAAAAAAAACCTATTACAAAAAGGGAGTGCGTAGATTATTATTTTGTGATAAATACAAGGAAAGTTATGCTGAAAACTGATATTTAGTGCCCGACATGGAATTTCCTTCACATTTTCACAAGATGCAAAAAATAAAAATGAATTTATTAGAATTTAAAAAATTCCAACATAACACTCAATATTTTTATTTTTAATCAAGTAGGCATACAACATTTACTGTGTATCCAAACATTTATGAACTTTAACCTCTCTTATAAAAACATAGGCAGCCAAGGATATCTGCTGACTCAATGTCACAACTTTGTCTTGGCTTTACCATTAGTAATTTATACTAGAACAAAGAACTCATTATATAGTGAAACAGCATACCCAGTATTAACACTTTTGAAACACTGAATAAGGAATAAAAGTCAACATATAACAACCACAGAGTTTAAGAAATGCTTAATTAATAAGCATGATAAGTAACCATTTTTTTTCTGATTTTTTGAAAGGCAAGCAGCAAAGTTTGGTGAGGATTTTCAAGAAGGAAAAAGAAATATTTCTTCCAAGTATTCCACTGATCTTAAATGATAAAAAAAAACTGATTATAGAACTAATCTTTATCTATATGGATATTATAGAATAACTATTTAGCAAATTTAGTCTGGTTCAAGTTCACAGCAGTGAGACACACAGTGGGCTCACAAGAGAGCTAAGCAGACATTTGAGTTTTTTGGGGGTTTTTTAACCGCCCGAATGATTTTCGGTACAATTACAAAACTTTATTAATAACATTTGTACTTAAGAGAAAGATTAAAACAAACCTTTCAATATTTCTAATTTAAAAATAGAGGTTTAGATGTCAGAACTCTAGCCTGCAGTGAAGAACCAACATTCCAAAATAGAGATTAAATTTTTCATTTAACCCATTTAAACTACTTTTGGAGGGGGATTTTCTGTGCCAAAAATGGATTCAGCAGGGGGAAAAAAAAAAAAAAAAAAAAAAATTAGAGAGTCTAGATTTTCTGAAAAATACAAGTTATGACCAAAACAGATATTTAGTGCTCAGCATATATTTCCAAAAGCAGGTAATAAATTTTGCCTATGAAAATGAAGTACAATTTTTATACCATCCCCCAAAAACAATTTTCTTACATTTTGCCAATTTAAATTGTTTTTAATATTTGGGAACATACACTAAAAAGGTGGAAAAAAAAATTGTCTTGGTCATGAATCAAAGTTGGGAAGGCAAATGAGCTGGTAAAATATTGACTGAATTTGTTGTAAGGTTCCAAAATTCCCTTGACAGAGGTTATTTTTTAAAAGGATTGTCAAGTTAAACATCCTTGTCAATTAACATTCATTTCAACAAAATTAAAAAAAAAAAAAAAAAAAAAAGGAATTATACAGCTGATCATCTAAAATTAAATGATTAACTTTTTTTTTCTTTTTTTTTTTTTTAAAAATCGGTTTCACCCCATGCAAGACACAAGGGGTTATGGAAGAATTAGGAACAGAAACATTAATAATGAGCAGGAAGAGAAAAGAGTAATCAGGAGGATAGTAGATAGCGATTGACATCGCATTTAAATTTTTTGAAGATTAAAGTTCGCTGGAAAGCATGGAGCCAGAAGGGAGTTCCACAAGTGAAAAGTTAGAGAAAAGAAGCTGTCAGCATAGAATTTATGGTTACATCTAGCTAGCTCAATGGTAAATTGATGAGATCTCAATGTCAGTGTAGTACTGTGCTTCAATTTAAAAAGTCTAGGTACCATAGTGAAGAGCTCATCTGAACAATTACCATGAAAGTATTTATAGAAAAAGTACAGAAAGGCAACTTTACACTTAAACTATTCTGGATGATATCATGTTTTGTCATTGATTCTCCATACTTCAGCTGTCCTATGGGACAATAGTAAATTTAAGCAGGCTCTCATCCCAACTGAAATTAGACTCAGAGCATTGAGAGGCTTAGCTGTAAAGGTTTGAACTAAAAAATGTAGCTTGTCAGAACAGTCTAGTATTGTGCTTAAATTAATACAGTCTAGGTACCATAGCAAAGAGCTCATCTGAACAACTACCATGAAAATATTTATAGAAAAGGTAAAGAAAGGCAACCTTACACTTAAACTATTCTGGGTAATATAAGATTTTGCCATTACTGATTGGTTGGAAAGCATGGGGCCATAAGTAAGATCTATGAGGAAAGAAACTGTTAGCAATTACATCTTGCCAGCTCAACCATAATGTGCTTAAATTCAAAAATGTACAATAGTGAAGAGCTCATCAGAACAATTACCATGAAAGTATTTATAGAAAAGGTACAGAAAGGCAACCTTACACTTAAACTATTCTGGGTAATAAAAGGTTTTGTCATTACTGATTGGCTGGAAAGCATGGGGCCACAATTGAGAACTATGAGGAAAGAAACTGTTAGGATAGAATTTGCAGTTACATCTTTCCAGCTCCACTGTAAACTGATGAGATCTCAATGTCAGTCTCATACTGCACTTAAATTCAAAAAGTCTTGGTACCATAGTGAAGAGTTCATCCAAACAATTACCATGAATTTATTTATAAAAATGGTACAGAGAAGCAACCTTACGGCAGTGGGAAAGAGACTGAAGAGGTGCCACCAGATCAGGACCAATAATATTGCCAATTCTTTTGGCTCCTATCAAGGAGCTCAAGGTAAATAGCAGGGACACCACAGCATATGTGGCAGCAATATTCTAAGCATGCACGAATGTTGGACTTATAGATATGTAAGATAGATTCTGGAGCTGAAAATTGTCAAGCACGTTACAGTGAGCCAACTTTCTTAGCAGCTGACCTAGTAATGGATTCAATATAGACTTTCCACTTAATGTCAGCTGAAAACATTAGCCCAAGAAGGCACAACGAGTCACTTTCCTAGAGGTTAGCATGCTGATGGAAGCCAAAGGTGGGTCTCTCAGATTAATTGAGAGAAGTTTAGTTTTGGGCCACTATCCATTACTCCATGGCTCAGATTGAGGAATCAGAGAGCTGAGTTCAAACTCCAGTTGAATCCATTACATTCAGTTATGTGTTAATACCCTTGGGAAAGGTATGAACCCTCTTCTTCTTCCCCCTACCCCCAGCTATGGGTAAATAGCAGGACAGACCGAGTTCTATAGCCTTGGATGGCAACTAGTCTACCACAGAAAGAAATGGCAACCTACAGTGGGAAAAAAATCTCCCTCGTCATTCATGTATCAGAAGATACATGATCGCTTAAGTGTGTATCATGTATGGCACATAACTGACTGATCCCTTATTTGTATTGATTTCACACTTATGCCCTTGGGAAAGGTATGAATCCTCTTCTCCCCACCGGCTATGGGTAAATAGCAGGACAGACCAGATTCTATAGCCTTGCATGGCAACTGGTCAACCACAAAAAGAAATGGCAACCTACTGCAGGAAAAAAAAATCTGCCTCGTCAGTCATGTATCGGAAGAGACATTGATCGCCTCAGCGTGTATCACTGACTTACTTTTGGGGGTGTTAAAACTATCAAGCCATCTTTTGCTTCAGTTAACAACGGACTTTAGGTCATTTTGGATATCAGCTACCATTTTGATCTTTAACCATAACTTGACAAATACTAGGATTGAAGCTCAGACAAAGTTCTGAAATACTGAGACTGTCTACTTTTAGAATATGACTTGGAAAAATGTCCCAAAAATGCCAAATGTCAACTTGCAAGCACTCTGTGACCCAATGAGGAGAAAACTCACTAAACTAGAATATCTACTTGATGGTATATAAGACCCTCACAACCACCACATTGAAGGGGGGGGGGTATTAAGAAAAAAATTATTGGACAGTACATTGAATTTTACTGGAACTTTATCAGTGTTCTCAATTTGACCCAGTTCAAAACAAGTTTCTTTTTGTGCATTTATAACAAATTTATGAAATTATAATGCTTGAGAAAACAAGTAGGTCTTATATGCCTTCAAATATGGATTTTACTAAACTTAGCTGAGGACTTATCAAGTTAACTAAGTTTTTTTTTTTTTTACATTGATAATGGCTTACAAGAGAAGCAACCAAAATTGCTGTAAATGATTGGATAATTGATAACCTTGCAGTAAAATGAAACATTTTATTTAATAGTATATCAGACTCTACTCATTTCAACAGGGACTATTAATCCTGTTGTTAG